AATAAACTGATGAAAAATCCTTGATTTCCAAGTACATGGATTGAGGAACAAAACAAACTGAAAGAATGAAGAAAGGCAAGCCTGGTGATCGCCAAGGTCACTTGGCGAATTGCTGAATGACTATTTGACCACCTAAAGTTCCAGTGTGCCAAGTCCTGAGGAATGAAACTGAGTCGGCGATATAAAGGAGTCGACGGATCTCCGAGTAGTTTTGACAGATCACATAAAGTTACAAAACCCAAGGATGCTGAATGATAAGGTTAAAAGGCGATGGAGGAGAGAGCAAAGGGCAGCTCGTCGAGTGGTTCGGTGAGCCCTGACTTACTTCACCGATTGACTCTTCGCAACACATTTTTGGCGACTATAAATACATTTCTGAACATTTAATTTGTGAGCTTTTGAGACATATAAGACTTTATTATTAAGTTTTGATCATCTTGAGACATATTCTCTCTAGATTTTTTCCTTTTTCTTTGAGGGATTGAAGAAATTCACTTTTGAGAAATTGGAAGTGGTTCTTTAAGATTCATCAAATTGGAGCATTGTAAGGAAGAAATCACTTTTACCTAGTTGATGTATAATCAATTCGGTAGCTGTTTTTACCCTTTTATAATGTCTAGCTAAAACCCCAATTTCTTGGGGTGTGATTAAGGGCTGATTTAGCTTATGGGTATTGCTAATTGTTAGTTTAAATGCTATTTAAATGTGAGTTCAATCATTAATTGTGGTTTAACTTAGGAATTGTAGTTGCAAATGCAGTTTTATGTTTGGGTTGATCTGGGTTTAGCTCTAGAGAGTAAATCCTAAACCCAATCCCACACATTTAGCTCGAGAGAGTGAATAGATTAAGGTGTGGGATGCTCTTAATTTGCGTGTTTGTTGATGTTCGAGAGAAATCACTTGATTTAGGGTAATTGTTCGATAGAAAATTACCTCCCTTATAGCCTAGCCTACTCACTAATATCTAGATATTTACTAATAGTTGAAATTACCCATATGTCTATATTTGCCTATAATTGATCACATTCCAAGAACCCATCTCATTATTGTTAACTCCTAGTGTTTGCAATTGCTTTTAGCTGATAATCAAAACCAAAACCCCCCATTTGACATTCGTGTCAGCCCTTGATTTGAATGATGTCTTTATTCGATAATTTTTATTCCTATGGCTGATTTGACCACATTTGTACTTCCCAATTGAATCTGAAACACGAACCGCTCCCTGTGGGATTCGTCCCCAACTCATTTAGTTGGGTTTTATACTTATTTACGATTGTTGACACTAAGAATTGGAAGTAGTGTCTTTGCAGCGTAATTAATCAAAATGGCGCCGCTCTCGGGGATAGGTGTTGTTTGAAATTCTTTTGGTGAAGTTGAAATGTGTTTTTTTTAGGTATAGTTGAATCTACTTACTTTTAGTTTTGGTTTTTGGTCTTGCTTGTTAAAATAGAGGAAATGAGTGCATATGGTAGCATTGGTAACCAAGTGGACCACCATCCTTCGAAGATGATGATTCTTAGGGATAATATCCTAGATTTCAAACACTTGGAGGGTGAGACAATCCATGATTTGTGGCTGAGATTTAAGACACTATTGCTGCAGTGCCCAACTCATGGAATCCCAGATAAGATGATGCGGGACTGTTTCAATAGAGGTCTTGGTCGTGTGAAGAGAGGAGTGGTTGACCAACTTTCTCCGGGAGGTATAATGCGACAATGCTATGCAATAGTATCCCAACTCCTCGATCGCATGACCAAGATCAACAAGGAGCAAGAGAGGGACCAAAATTTAGCCAAAATGTTAACCCAGCTGGATCTCTTGGCCAAAAATATCATGGAATTTGAAGTGCTGTACAAAAATAAAGATAGGTGCATTCCTCCTCATGAGTGTAAAAAGCTTTTGGATTATGAGGTCGGACATATAAAAGAGATATTGTCACACATTCTCCACAAAGTCGAAGAACACGAAAAAGTGTTGAAAGAGATAATAGAGAATGTCTCAATGCTAAATTAGATGATTGCTTCTCATTCCATATCTATTAAGCTACTAGTGACCCAAATGGACCATATTTCTTCTCATCTCAACTCGAGACAACAAGGAGGGTTGCCTAGTGACATAATGGCAAACCCCAAGAACAAAGCTTGAGTGGGTATTTGCATTGTGCTACTACGTTAACTAAGGCGCTTCTTGGGAGGCAACCCAAGTTTTTAATGCTTTGTGTTATTTTTTCAATAATGGGTGTTGGTTGAAAAGTGGGATGTGTTGAAAATGTGTAGATTGGTGAGCCAAGAGTCCAGTCGGCGACTTGCCGAAGAGGACAGCGAGTTTGACTTGGACCACCATTGGACTTAGTTAAATATCAGGTTGGAGTCTATAAAACTCGGTGGGTCTTTGGACAAATTGGCTACTCACCTAACAGGTCGGCGAGCTCGACTTTGTCCGCCGTTTGTACCACCAAGTTGATTGGAGGTCCTGTAAAACTTGGCAAGGTAAGTCACCACTTGGCGCATCGCTGAGTGGTTCGGCGAGGACGACTAATACCACAGAAAGGGCCGCAAACTAAGAGGTTCTATAATGCCAAATAGTTTAAACTTTCAAATCTTTCATATTCCCTCATTTTAGCCTTGTACACTTGCACCCACACTCTAGATTATTCAATCTTTTTCTATTTTTATCATTTTTTTCTCATTGATCTGGTGCTCGGAGTTGGATTACATTGCCGCCTAGTATTTCAAATTCCTATTTCGGCTTAAATATTGGTTTTTTGAACCTCGAACTCTTGATTTGTAGTTGAACTTGAATGCAATTGTTTAAATCTTATTTTTGTGTGCTGGGCCTATTCTGAAATCATAGTTATTGTGCAAGTTTGCCTATTTTAGTTTCGTAAATGTGCTTAAATTGCTTAAAATGATGATTCCTCAAATTTTGTGCCTTAAAACTGATTGTAATTTTTTGGGTTGCGGTAAATGTTTGTTAGGTATAGTTGGGTGAAGTCTAAGTAACCCCAATTGTTCTAAATGATGTACTTTACCCAATTATGGAGTGTTTGATGTCATTCTTAAGGACAAAAGTCATCAAATGGCCAATGTTGGCCAAATTGAGGGAAGTCTGAGTACCCCGGTGGCATGGGTCTAGTGGGTCAAAGCTTAATTGCATAAGTGTGTTGTTTGATTTTGATTTTGGGGTCTGCGGGCTTGATTTTGGGAAACAGGGTTGAAAATTGGCACGTTGGGCAGTTTGGCAAGCTGGGTCGAGCTCGCCGAACCGTTCGGCGGTTTGCCAACGTCCCCCTAGATCACCCTTAATTTAACGTTTTGGCTAGATTAGAGTCTGTAACTTTCAGCGGGAAGCCTGAGCTTGCCGAGTTCACTTGGTGACTCACTGAAGGTCTTTCTTGATCGCCCTTTCGGCGCCCTTAACCCCTAAAACATGCTGTAAAATTTGGTGGGTTAGTCTGAGCTCGCCAAGTGGTGTCAGTGATTATCGAAGGGTCCCGAACATCCGACTCACCGAGCGGTTCTGCGAGTTTTTCTACAACCTGTTGTGTGCATTTTTCTTGGATTATTCAAACTCTTTTTGATGTGACTTTCAGATATGGCTAGACCAAAAGTAGCAGGACTAGACATGCCGCCCCGTAAGATGGCAAAGGGAATTACTATCAATGAGAATGCAACTGCATCCAAAGCAAAAGAGAAAAAACTTCCTACCACAAGTGGGAAGGGTAAATGAATGGGAAAGGCACATGTTTCTGAGTCACAGGAGGTCAACTCCGATAGTGAGGGAGTTTATGCTACTCACCTCACCACTTCTGAGAATAAGGGAGAGCATTAGGACCATCAGGCTGACATTTCTGATCCCGAGGATGATCAGTTGCTACTAGCCCGGAAAGCTGAAATGCGCTCCAAGAGGTTGAGTGATCCATTTAGGATCCGGGTATCCCAGGCCACCACTCCACTCCTGTTCCAGACCAAGCTGTGGTACCAGCACCTCCTGCACATGGTCCTCTTTCCCGATCTCTCAATAGGCTAAAGACCGAGGGATTGAGGACTATTATTAAGGAGAAGAGATTGTCCACAGAAGGTGTGGTGGACAAATACCCAGAGATCTGGAGCACCCTCTAAGCCCACAAGTTCCAGATTTTTACTAAACTCCGTTCCCTTTACATTCCCACTTGGGTCCGAGAGTTTTACATGACCTATGGTGCTTTGGTGCCACATGGAAAGAGGAAAGCCGCTACCTTCAAGCCAGTGGAGTATGTGGTTGTCCGGGCAAAGAAAGTGAAGTGTGGCAGTGATAATATTAATGCAGTTCTGGAGTGTACAAAGAATATTGCTGATGACTACCAGAGTATGATCAAGCCAACTTCACTGGAGGACATGAAAAGTTGGCTGACACCTCTACTTTGAGATGACACTCCTAGGTGGATTGATGCTGGATTACCCGTAGAGAAGAAGGAGTTAAATATGGCGGCGAGGTAATGGTTTGAATTTATCAGCAGCACAATCATGCCATTCCAAAATGAGTCCATCCTCTACCACACTAAAGCGGCCTGTCTTATCTCTATCATTGCTGGGAAGGGCCTCAATTTAGGCATGATCATTAGACATGTTATGGCCATGAGGGCTAGGCAGCGTTAGACATCGTTTCCATTCCCGATGTTTATCACCGAGTTGTGAAGACGAGCCCGAGGGCTTCGAGATAAGAAGAAGGACATGGAAGTGATTCCTACCTCTTCTACCGACATCCGGTGTATTAAGGCCGAGTACTTAAAGGATGAGGCTATGAAGATGAAGGCAGCCCCAGTGGATTCATCCCCGGCTGTGGACATTGAGACTTTACATATAGAGGCAGTATTTCCTACTTCGGCCCTTAGGCCTTCAGGTGTATCTAGTGCTGTCCCTTCCATGACTTCAAGTTCTTCTACCGCTCCCCTACCTCCTAGGTTTGTTTCTAGTACTACCACTTCCCGACCTCCCGTCACCGAGGCTGCGATATGACGGATGGGGAATCTAGCTCATTCTGCTGATATGCGTACCTCCGGGATAGAGACTACAGTCCCTGGAATGATTGAGAGAGCCCTCACTGCTACTCTGACACCTCTTAGTGTGTCTATTAATGACCTCGCGATAAGGATATATGTGTGTATGAGAGGCCATGTGGCCACTCATGAGGTGACAGCCTTAAAGACCGTTATTGCTGAGTTGAGAAAGGATGTGGACCAGCTGAAGTTCACGGATATGTCAATGATTTTTGGGACCATGGAGATCCCTGATATGCCATGTGATTCTAATGTTCCTCCGGCTACCGCCAGAGATGAGGTTCAAGTTCATGAGTTGGCTGCTGCCGAGTCTGAGGCAGAGACTGATGAGAAGTAGCTAGGTCCCCAAGAGGAGACCACATATGAGGGCCTGACAGAGGTTGAGGAGGCCATGGTGCATTCAGCCGTACAAATTTCATTGGCAGATAAGTCCATGGCAGGATCTAGTGGAGTCAATGTTGATGTTACCCCGGACACTGATACCCAAGATCAGAGTGTCACTTCAGGCATTGATGCCCCGACAGATGGAGCGACTGAGTAGACAAAATCATTTTTTACCTCCTTCTATGTTTCTTTTATGATTTTTATGTTGTTAGTTGCATATGAGGACAACTGCTTTTCGTTTGTGGGTGGGGTGAGGTATTTCCATACCTACCTCTTTTGATTACATTTTATGTATATGTATTGGGTTTTTGTGTTTTAAATTGTGTGTTGATTCTATCTTGTGGATATTTGAGCCTGTGGCTCCTTTTTATGAATGAAAATGGTTTTTGACACATTTGAAATTTTTTGCCACCTCTTGTTGTGTGTAAATGTGGTTGTTCTTGTGCAAATTTGAGTATCAGTTATGATCAATACCGATGACTTTAATAGTGCTCTTAATCGAACAAAATGAATGCCGGCTACAATGAGGCCAAATGAAGTTGTATAGACAATATGTGGACTTTTTGCATTTTATTGTGACTAGCTGATTATCGAATGGAGTCTCTTGTGATGAACATTGCACACTACATCGAATGAGTCTCATTTGATATTGGTGCCAATGCCTTGTGTGATGAGCTTACCTTGAATATTGTGTGTGGTGACACCTAAATTTGCCCTGTTTGTCCGGTTCACTAAGTGATGCAAGCTCTTGATATGATCTTATGCAACAATTTTGAGGATTGAAACCATTTGATAATATACCTCTTTTTGTGGCCAACCTTAGTAGATGTGTGAACCTTGCTTGAACCTCTTTTGAACTTTATCCTTTTCTTGGAAGATACTTGAACAATTGTGACCCCTCTTAATCCCTTCACCCATAACTCTCATGAAGTGTGGTTTGTTTAAATAGCCAACTTAGGCCAAAAGCCTAAGTTGGGGGTGTGGTGAAAGATGAGGCATATCAATAAGTATCAAAAATTCCTTGTGAGCCATGAGTTTGAAAAAGATGGAACCCCTCCATGTAAAAAAAAAAGAGAAAGAAAAGAAGAAAGCAAAAGAAAAAGAATGAAAAAGTTGTGAAACAAAGTTGTGAAAGTTACAAAGGATATGGGGTGTTCGGTAGTCCATTGGAAGCATGAGTAAAATGTTGAAGAAAAATAAGGAATTGATGTTCAGACCACATTTCATGTGAGTAGCTGCCATTAAGCCTAAATGACCATACCTTTACACTTAGCCTCGTTACAAGCCTTGAAAAGACCTTCTTGATCTTGAGTGAGCTGAAACAAATGTTGATTGGAAAATAAGGGCAAACCTATAGGTGAAGTCATGCATGTGGTCATCTTTGTGAGTGTGAGAGTCGTATGTGATTTCGAAACTATAAATTGTTGAGACATTGTGTGTGAGAATGGAATCATCTTTGTTGTGAGGGCATTTGAGTACTTTTTTGAGCTTGAACTTACATTTGAAGCAAGTATTGTGATCTTGAGCATCTTTGATAATGGTGGTGTCACATCTTGAATCTTTGAGTGCACAATTGATCATTGCATGAGTAATTGCGTCTTGTTGTGTGCATTCATGTTGAGTCTTTTGTAGCACTGTCTGAGACATCCTTTTTGAACTACTGAACTTGAGATTTACTTGAGGACAAGCAAAAGTTTTAGTTGGGGGTGTTGATGAGTCTGAAGTTTGAACTCATTTAGGGCTTTGTTTATATAGATTTAGTGTCCTCAAATGCTTGATTTGTGTGATGAAATATCCTTGATTTCCAGGTACATGGATTGAGGAACAAAGCAAGGACACTAACATGCAGAAAGGAACAAAACAAACTGAAAAAATGGAGAAAGGCAAGCCTGGTGATCGCCAAGGTCACTTGGCGAATCGCCGAATGGCTATGTGACCACCTAAAGTTCCAGTGTGCCAAGTAATGAGGAAAGAAACTGAGTCGGTGATAGAAAGGAGGAGTCGGCGGATTGTCGAGTAGTTCCACTATGCAGTGATAGAATGCCTAAAGTTACAGAACCCAAGGATACTGAATGATAAGGCGAAAAGGCAATGGAGGAGAGCAAAGGGCGGCTCATCTAGTGGTTCGGTGAGCCCGACTTACTTCGCCTATCGACTCTTCACAACACATTTTTGGCCACTATAAATACGTTTTTGAACATTTAGTTTGCGATTTTTTGAGACATCTAAGACTTTATTATTAAGTTTTGATCATCTTGAGACATATTCTCTCTAGAGTTTTTCCTTTAGCTTTGAAGGATTGAAGAAATTCACTTTTAAGAAATTGGAAGTGGGTGTTTAAGATTCATCAAATTGGAGCATTGTAAGGACGAAATCACTCTTACCTAGTTGATGGATAATTAGTTCGGTAACTGTTTTACCCTTTTATAATGTCTAGCTAAGACCCCTTATTCTTGGGGTGTGATTATGGGCTGATTTAGCTTATGGGTATTGCTAATTGTTAATTTAAATGCTATTTAAATGTGAGTTCAATCATTAATTGTGGTTTAACTTAAGAATTGTAGTTTGCAAATACAGTTCTATGTTTGTGTTCTTGGCTTGCTCGAGAGAGAGGTTTTAGAACAAAGGTTTTTGATTGGTGGTTTGTGGGTATTGGGTTGATCTGGGTTTAGCTCGAGAGAGAAAATCCTAAACCCAATCCGACACATTTAGCTCAAGAGAGTGAATGGATTAAGGTGTGGCCTGCTCTTAATTTGCATGCTTGTTGATGTTCGAGAGAAATCACTTGATTCAGGGTAATTGTTTGAGAGAAAATTACCTCCCTTATAGCCTAGCCTACTCACTAATATCTAGCTATTTACTAATAGTTGCAATTACCCATATGTCTATATTTTCCTATAGTCAATCATATCCTAAGAACCCATCTCATTATTGTTAATTCCTAGTGTTTGTTATTGCTTTTAGCTGATAATCACAACCAAAACCCCCCATTTGCCATTCGTGTCACCCCTTGATTTGAAGGATGTACTTATTCGATAACTTTTATTCCTATGGCTGATTTGACCACATTTATACTTCCCAATTGAATCTGAAACACGTAATACTCCCTGTGGGATACGACCCCAACTCATTTAGTTGGGTTTTATACTGATTTAAGATCGTTGACACTAAGAATTGGAAGAAGTTTCTTTGAAGAGTAATTAATCAAGTAACCTTTTGAACCTCAACCATGTTTCTGCAAGAGTTCACCTCCAAGACTATTGAAATTTAGGATTAGGAGACGAAGTTTAGCCATCTTTGAGTGTGGAAAGAATTGTTCTCAGAATTCCTCTGTTAGCTCATCCCATGAAGTAGTAGAATCAGTTGGTAACTGTGCCAACCATCTTGTAGCCTCTCCCGTTATAGAGAACGGGAATATTCTCAATCATATGGATTCTTGGGATATATTCTTGAACACAAAGGGTCCACATACCTCTTGATAAGGATGAAAGAAATAAGAAAACATATGTGGAATTATCGAAATCTAATAGAATTTATTAGCAACAAAGGACTTTATACCTTCAAATCTCAATTGAATCTGATCAAATAACAATAACCCAAACTCAAACAAAAACAAGAAAACCAAATTGAATCCACAACGAGGATAACTCGATGATCTATTAAGTTGGAAGAAGTTAACTATCAATTGTAAGAGTTGACCACTAATTACTCACTAATTCCTTAAGGGAATTAAACTAACACTAAATTAGCTTGAGAGCATTCAATTTCAACATTCAACATACTCTAAGTCTTCAAAAATGAAAAAAAGACTAATATTTATACTAAGATAATAAAAAAAGACACTTCTTTGACAATTTACCCTTAATGACATAAGGGCTTTGTTTGGTTGCCTTGTTTTGTAAATTCTTGAATTTAAGAGATGATCATTTGCACAAATGGCCTCTTTCTCTTCACTTTGATGGACCTTCCACACATTGTATATCTTTATTTTGTTTCCAACAAGCTCCTCTAAAGCTTTCATGTGATCCATGCTATCTTTTTCGTTATCATCCTCCCCTTTTGGAAAAGGATTCATCCTTGAATCCAAACCCTGCAAAACCATGAAAAGGACAAACAACAAACATATCCTCATATCATGATGGTTAGTACAATGGTTAGCATAAAAGCATAACACCAAGGAGACTCAATCTCAAGGAACAAGCAAGTATCCTCTATTATCATGATTATTAAGCCCATAGATGAAGAACAAGGACATTGCATATTCCTCACATCAAAAGGACAATACAACCCAAAAGATAGAACTACTACAAGCTCAAATACTCCCAAACATTCACCATGGTCAAAATGGTAATAGGTCCCTTAATCGGGTCATACAAATAAGTATATACCTCAATTATAGCCCGACCCAAATGCAATGAACATTTAAGACAAATATGAAACTCATGATATGTAAAGAGATAGTAGAGAATGATGTCATGCACATTGGGGCCATCTAAGGTGTTCTATATGCAAGATCACAACTAGATTCAAGGATCCTAGCACTCATTACATCACAAGATGGAACATACAAAGACAACATGGCAATTTAAGATAAAGTTCACCTTCTCTTGATAAATAACTCCTACCCCCATAAGATGTGCAATCAACGAGATCATACGCAAAGAGGTAGTAAAGAAAGGGGGTTAGAAAAATACCCTTGCCCATACACAACATAGGTTCTTCAAGTGGATTGAAAATCCTTAAGAAGAACTTTCAATCATAGGGAAATGTGCCAACAAATTTATCCAAATTGTTCTTGTCATCTTTACCAAGAATCACTACACAAGTGCCACAATTGAACACATTACCGGGGTCGAATGGAAAAGAAATCCATGAACATTGATCAAGTACACCCCTTTTTACTCGGTTGACACTCTTATATTCCAACAACATACTCCACTCAAAAGCATGAGC